TCTGACAGTCTGACATTTCACATCCCTACAGACCAGCCCACCCGAGGAGCTGCTGAAGACCGCTGGGAGCACACCTGCCTGCTGCTGCCGCAGGGCCCCTGCCAGCCGGACACCATGTACTGCCTGCAGTGGTTGCTGCCTGTCCTGCTCATACCCAAGCCCCTCAACCCAGCGCTGTGGTTCAGTCACTCAATGTTCATGGGCTTCTACCTGCTCAGTTTCCTCCTGGAACGGAAACCTTGCACGATTTGTGCCTTGGTCTTCCTGGCAGCTCTGTTCCTCATCTGCTACAGCTGCTGGGGGAACTGCTTCTTGTATCACTGCACAGGATCCCAGTTGCCGGAATCAGCTCATGATCCCAGCATCGTGGGCACCTAGAGAACGATAATCTTCCAGTCTGCTGACAGCTCTGGTTTTGCTTTTTAAAAAAAAAGGGGGGGCTAGGGAGGAGGGGAGGGGGTGCTAGGCATGTGACTGGAGTAAAACCAGCCTGTTTCCTGTAACGTGTGTGTGGACCTGAGTGGTAAATTCCTGACCAGCCCTCCCACTCTGCCTGTGAAATTTGACTTGTTTACTGTGTGAACTCTGGCAGCACCACCTGCTTTTTTAGAAGCAGAAGTCTTTTTTTCTTTTTTCCCTTCCCATATCACTGGGAACGGACACCAGCCCTCCTAACTGAGAACTGGTAGAGGAAAGAGCTGCTGGCCTCTGCCCAGCTGTCGCGTGGTGGTGGAGCTGCGTGGCTCTTGTCTGCATTAGGCCACGGTGGTCTAACTCAGGGCTCCCGGCCCTCTGATTTGCTCAAGTAGCTACAGGAGCCTCTCCATCTTTCTGTTTGCGGGGAGCCAGCCTTCCCGCCTTGCTGATCAAGGGAAAGCTCGGCAGCTCGCAGATGCACTTGGCCAAAAGCTGCTGGGGCCAGAGGCAGTTGAGTCATCTCCTCCCGCTCCGCCTGCCAAAGAGATGCGCGCACTGCCCAAGTGCTTTCTGAACTACTTATGCTCCGAGGTCATAGCCTGAAAGCCTCAGTTGTGCTGCTGCTTTTATAAAGCCTCACAGGCAGCGGAGACTGCCGCTTCCCCTGCTAGATTTCCAGGGTTTACTGAGGTATTGACTGTTGGGATAAAAAAAAAAAAAAACTGCTATGCTGCAAGACGTGGGGTTTTCACAGCTGCCACGAGCCTCACCCCACAACGCTCGCCGCTAGCCCGGCAGGCTGCGTGTGGGCAGGGCAGGAGAGGGTCCCGAGGAGGAGGCACAGCTTGGAGCAGCGGCTGCTTCAGCTGCTTTGGGTGACTGTTCTCAGGCCAGGGGTGACAGAGGGTGCTGGTGCTGTGCGCTGGGGAAGGAGAGAGGCCAGAGGGGCGCCCGCTGCCTGCACCTCCCCTGGCAGGAGGATGTCAGGGCTGGGTGGCAGCGGGATGCTCTTACACAGCCGCTGCTGAGAGCTCTGCGCTCACTGCTGCCTGCAGCAGCGGCTCTCGGGGCAGCCTTCCCTGGGGCAAGGGGGTTTGCTGATGAGCAACCTCGGGGGTTAACACAAAGCTCTGTCTCTGCACTGGCCAAGGGTTCCCTCTCGTTTGCCATCTGTTCATCTTCACTTCAGTCTACGAGTCCCGTAGGGGAGAGCAGCACAAGCGGCTGCTGCTGTCCCGAGGAAGTTCGAGCTATGAGGTTGTGAAACTTCCCGAGTATTGTTTGTTCATTGCACAGCTGTTCAAAATGTTTAATAAAGCTTTATAAACTTTGGTCTATGGACTCCTGCCCAGCGTGATGCGTTCGCTGCTCATTGCAGATGCCTCAGCCCAGCAATCACGCGTCTCTGCATTGTTTTGTTCCCGGCGCTGTAATCCCAGCCTCTAGCAGGAGGCAGAGCCTGTCAGCCCTGCAGCTCCCAGCACTGGCTGCACTAACAGGGTAACCTAACCCAGGCTGGGAAACCTACAGGCAACCCCTAAAACAAGCCCGTTTTGCACACAGCGCAGGCGGCAGCTTCTGGCTGTGCCCGTATTGGTGTGACAGATCCTCACCGTTCCCTTACTCGCTAAGAAACCCAACCCCAGAGCTGTGTCCTGCAGTCCTGCTGATCCCAAATCCCACTGATCCCAGCACCAGACGTGCACCCGAGGCTGCCCCATGGGGTCCCCCCAGTGCTGTCCCCTCGCTGTGGGCAGAGACGGGGCTGGGACCCAACTGCTGCACGTCCACCCTCGCTCCTGAGGACACCAAGCCCGAATTGGAAGGCGTTCAAGGCATATCAGTGTTTGCACGTCCAAAAAAACAAGCGTGACACATCCTCAGGAATAGAGGTGGCAGCCCCGTCACCTGTCAGGCTGAGGGGAATCCCAGGAGCTGCCGTGCTAGCTACAGTGTAAATAAAAATAGAAGGGAAAAAGGAAGTCCTCTCATTGGCAAGCTGTGACAACACGGTTGTCTGCACTCTGAGCAACTTTTATTTATTTAAGCTAAAAGGATTTTTTTTTTTTAATTTAAGCTAATGCAGTCAGTTTAAAGCTATATTTTAGTTGCTAATGAGCCAAGATGCGCTCTACTGCAATTTAAATAAGTCCTAGCCACGAAGCCAGACAGCCCTGGGTGAGAGCGAGCCCTGGCTTCGTACACCCAGCCCAGCCCAGCCCAGGACAGGGCTTTGGGCTTCCCCTTCTGCCAGACCTGACCTGGGGAGAGAGGCACTTCAAAAGAGTGCAGCAACCGGAGATCCCAAACTGATGCGTAGGAAATCTGCTTTTTACAGCACTCCCACCCCAAACGCAGTTAAGGGCGCGCTTTGATGTGCACATCGCCCTCACCGGGGCACTACCTGCCACCTCTCAGCGCGCCGAGATGCAATCTTCATCTCCAAGATACAAAATTAAAGTCACTTCATCACGGTCAGACAGAAAGCCTCGGGCAGGGCGAGGAAGCCAACCGGGGCTCACATCCCATGCTAATGCCCTGATCCCCAGCTCATCGAGGCCGTGAAAAACCAGCCTGCAACTGCAGAACAGGTCAAACCCGACAGCTTTTGGAGAGCAGCACCACGGCTTCCCTGCCTGCGCGCCACGGGCCGGGCTGAGCCCACAGGGGCGCGGTTGTGGCTCCTCCGCAGTGGCTTTTGTCCCCCAGCGGGGTGTCCCTGTCACCGGGGGGTCCCTGCGTGGCTCCACGTCCTGCCCAGCCCAGGCACTGGCCGGGAGGGATCTGGCGCAGAGCACGCCTCGGCACCTGGCTTTGCAAATTGCCCATCTGCCTCGCGCTCCCCGGCTACGGGGGAGCAGGAGCCTTAAGCTACTCCTCTGCCTTTCCATCGCAAGGAGATGGTTTTCTTTTCTAGGTCACGGAACAGATCGGTGGCACTGCAGGGTCAGGGCAAGGAGAAAAGAAAATAAAAAAAAACACCAAGCCAAACTCAGATCCCAGCGATCAGAGCTGCAGCGGGGCTGGCCACACCTCGGGCTCCCCACTGCAGCTTTGGGACCGGGGGCTCCTCTCCCTGCGCCCCCTTCCACACCTCTCTCCTGCTCCCACCAGCCCGGGGCTGGCCCAAACCCTGCTGGACCCAGGGAGCCACCAGCATCGCTCCGGGCCAGCCCTTCCCCTGCCTGCGCCCTTTGCTCCCGCTCCTTGCATGAAAGGGGCATTTTCCTCGCCCTCGGCGGCTGGCAGGAGCTAAGTGCAGCGGGTGAGGACTTCAGCCTGTCTCAGGAGCCCAGAGATTAACCCTTGGCAAGAGGGCTGCGCTGTGCCTCCCAGCGAACAGGCAGGGGGATGAGGGAAGACCCCAGCGCCAGGACAAACCCGCAGCATTTTCCACCTTCACCCTCCAGCAGCCTGGATCAAGAGCTGGGACTTGACACACTTTGGAGAAGATTAAGGGGGTGCTCAGGCCAAGCAGAGCGCATCCTTTCCAGCAGCCCCCCAGCAGGAGCAGCCCCCTACCAGCGCCCGAGCCCTCTCCCCAGTTCACGAGGCAAGGCGAGAGCACAAACAGCGAGATTAAGCCTGTTAGAGGAGGTGAGCGCTGTAATCCCCAGGCACGTCTGCCCGGCTCAGGATGGGGACATGTGGTGGGGGCTCCTCCTCACCCCCCAGCCCAGCAAACCTCTGCCCCCTCCAGGGACGAACCCCAGGGCTACAGCAGCTTCAGCCCCCCCCCAGCACACAGGGGGCTCACCAACACCAGATACTGCCTCAATCGCTTAAGTGCTTTAAGTAGAAGTAAAACCCAAAGCGTTAAGCACCAAGGACAACACATGGCTCACTCACCGGCCCCAGGAGAGCACCGCAGCAGCACAGCACGTGGATTGCAGGGCACCAAAACCACCCCACACCGCTGAGGCTCAGCCACAGCCCTGCTTTCCAAGGGCCCATTCCCACCGCACCGCTGGTACAAATCAATTACTTAATCACCAGCTGAGGGATCCCAATCAGCACCCACTAATTACCCTAATGAAGCGAGCCTGCTCCTTGCCAGCCCACTGATCCAGCAGGCTGCAGAGAGGAGCCTTCCCTCCCCAGCCTGGGCTTTGCCACCCGCACGGCCCCATGCAGAAAAGGATTTGGGATGGATGGATGCGGGCCAGGAGCCGGCTGCCATCCCAGTACAGCCCCTGCCTCCCCTGGGAGCTCACCCAGCACCAGCAGCCAGGCTTGCTGTGCGCAATTCCATGCAGCTTATATAAATCAGGGGGCTGTAAGTGAATATAAAGGTTTATTTCGTGCTGGCTGTTACCCAGGGGTGGATTTAGAGCTCTGGCAGAGCAGGAGGGATGTGATGGAAAAGGTTCCCCTTGCTGGAGGCAGCTCTGGTCCCCCCGAGCCCAATCCCAACCCCAAGAGGCGCACAGCATCCTGCAGGGCTGCGCACCGAACCTGGGGCACATCGCATGGAAAAGGCCCCCCCAAAACCCCAGGAGCCACACAGAGAAGCTGCACTCACTCTGGTAACCACCGACCCCCTACCAGGGATGCCAAGAAGCCCTCTCATACATGAGCTACGCTTTTTTTTTTGTTTGTTTTTGTGAGGTCTGTTTGTATTTAATTATCAAATTGCAAAGTATTTACAACAACATCAGAGTTCCGAAGCATCTCCGCCCCCCACCACCCACAAAGCTGGGACGTTTTCAGGTTTTTCCAAAGTTTTATTATTATCCAAAAAAAAAAAAAAAAAAAAAAAAAGCTAAATATTTTACTTCGACACTGAAAAAGGCAGGTGGGGAGGAGGGGGAGCTGGGGAGAGAGAACCAGAGCCACACGTTCTCTGCATAGTCGTCTGGAGATCTTACAAAAATGCTGTTTAAAAAAAAAAAAATATTACACCAGCAGAAAAATCTCTCGTACGGGGTTATCGGCCCAGCGCGTCCGTGCCGAGGAGCATCGTGGGGTAGGGGGGGCTCCCCTCTAAATGACCGGCTTTGAAAACAAATTGACAGACAGGAGGGTGGCGGCGGGGAGGCTCTGAGCCTGCGTGGCCTCTGCTGGGGCCAGCTGCAGGAGGGACCCCAGGTCCCACCCCGCACACACGGTCAGACGGACGGACACGCAGACGGACACACAGACACATCCCCAGCCCTGCGCCGTGCTCCTCCTGGGTCATTTCCCTGCCTCCTGCCACCAGCAGTCCCCAGCCTCTCCCTGGCCTCAAACCCCCGGGGTAGGGAAGAGAGCCCAGGGCGGTGCTGACGCTGCTGGGACGTTCTTGCTCCTGTGCCAGGGAATGAAACACCTGGGCTGGGAGCACCCCGGCCCGGCTGTTCGCTCACGAGAACCTGTTCGTGCTAAGGAAAACAAAAGGTCACACGCTAACACGTGCATTCGCCTTCTCTCTCCCCAGCTCGGGGGTCCGATCCGTCTTCTGCACATGGATTTAGAGCTTTAGGAGCCTTCTCCCGGGGATGGGGATTCTGTGTCCCTCCCGTGGTTTCGGCACAGGCTGCCCCTCGTAGCACTGAGGGGCTTCTCCGGGACCCATCAGCCAAACGGCCATGAGACCAGAACTAAAAGACCTCAAAGTGTGACGGTCCCTGCACGAATGCAAAGGTGCTGGGGGAAGGAGAGGCTCTGAGTCCCAAGGTGGTTTTAAAAAAAATAATCCATTAAAACAGTCGCTGTTCTCCAAGCCAAAGGCAGGATCTCTCCATTTGTGCCACGTTCGAAGGCTTCACGATTAAAAAGGAGCCACCAAGCCAGGACTCATTCAATAAATAAGATGCTGGGGAGCTGCGGGAGCGAGCAGGGGACTCTGCCCTGCTCCTACTGGGGCGAGGGGCAGGAGCAGCCCCCCCCGGTGCGGCCCCAGCACCTTCCTCGCCTGGTTTTCCACGGGTGCTGGGCCAGCAGTGAGGGGTTCTGCTCAGGGACAAACGCAGACAGAGACGGCGGCGTGACGGCAGGAGGAAAACAAACCCACATGCAACCTGTGGGGCTGGTGGGGGGCGCGCGGGGGCTATGTACAAGGGGGGTGCTGGGGCTGTGCGCGGCCCCTGGGGTTCAGCCTGGGGGGGAACAACGGGGGGGTGAAGCTGGGCACGGGGACGCAGAGACCTCCGAAACACAGCCAAGGGCGCGGGGAGCCCGCAGACACCCGCCTGGCACAATGCTCCCCAGCAGCCCAGCCCCGGGGGGGGGCAGCTGGAAACGTCCCAGTGGACAACCACATTGCAAAAAAACCGAGTATTTCCCCCAAAATGCTCCTCTGTCGTGTGTCCCCAGCCCCGTGGTCTCGATTTGGGGTTGGCGGGCGGCAGAGGCATAGCGTTGGGTGGAGAAGCCCCGGGTGGGCTGCACGGGGCAGGCGAGGGCTCCGTGGGGTTCCTCCCTCCTTGATGCTGATCCCAGAAGCGACGAGGCACAGCCCTGGGGACAGGCACGGCTGGAAGACTCGACTGTGTGCCCAGGGGGTCCCACTGGGACGGGGCGGGCAGCAGGGCCCCAAGCAGGGCCGGGTCCCACTCCCGGCAGTGAGGATGGGCAGGCACTGGAGGAAGGAGCCCCAAGGCCAGCGTCCCGTTGGCACCATGGGCCTGCGGGATCCTGGGGCCTGGTGCCTCAGCAACGTCTGCTCCCCAGCTGCATCCCAGTCCAAACCAGCGCTGGCGTGCGCCTTCCCCACAGCCAAACGTCTCTGTGAACACCTTTGGGCAAACGAGAGCAAAAAGGGTGGGCGGAGGGGCAGGGAAAGGGAAAATCGTGGTGATTTTAAACCAGGGAGGGTGCAAGAAGCCGTGGCCACATGTCCGAGGCAGGAGGTGCCGTCCCCTGATTTCTCTGGGGAAAAAGCCTCCCAAAAGCCAGGCCTCTTGGGGTGTGTGTGTGTGGGGGGGGGGGTGATGCCCCGCCAGCCCGCTGCCCCGCTCTCCCTCCTGAGCCGGTGCCAGCACCCTTGGGCTCCTCTCGCCCCGTCGGTAATCAGGGGCCAGCAGTCTTAACGAGCGACGGGGCTCCCCAAAAACGGCCCCCTCGGCGGGGAGGCCGGCCCTCCGCGCCCCGCGGCGAGGTGTCCGGTGCCAGGAGGAGCTCCAGGTCTATAGGTTCTCGCCGGGCTGGTACTGGGGCTCTGTGGAGGTGAAGTAGTCCTCCAGGAAGGCCTGCAAGTACTCGAAGGTGGGCCGCTCCTCGGGGTCCTTCCTCCAGCACTGGCACATGAGGTCGTGCAGCGATTCGGGGCACTCGGGCGGGCAGGGCATGCGGTAGCCCCGCTCCACCTGGTCCAGCACCTCCCTGTTCACCATCCCTGAGGAGAAAGGGGTCGTGGTGCTGAGCATGGGGGGGCCTGGGCCGGACCCCGCATCGTGCCCACCACCACGGGGGGGAGGCTCAGGGCTCGGTGCCCCCCCGGCTGCCAGCTCTCACCTGGGTAGGGCACTCTGCCCTTGGTGGTCAGCTCGGTCAGCAGGATGCCGAAGGACCAGACGTCCGACTTGATGGTGAACCTGCCGTACAGCGCTGCCTCCGGGGGCCGTCCACTTGATGGGGAACTTGGCACCTGGGCGAGGGAGGGAGAGTCAGGGGGTGCTCCCCCACCCTGGCACAGCCCCCTCCGACCCTCCCCAAGGGACGCCAGGCACCGAGGGACCACCCCAGGGGACAAGGGGACAGCACAGCACGTCCTGCGGGGACTGGGGGCCGCACCTTGCCGGGCCGTGTACTCGTTGTCCTCGATGAGGCGCGCCAGCCCGAAGTCGGCCACCTTGCACACCAGGTTCTCCCCCACCAGGATGTTGGCCGCCCGGAGGTCTCGGTGCACGTAGTTCATCCTCTCCACGTAGGCCATGCCGGACGCGATCTGCGGGGCAGGGCACGGGGCCTGAGGCTCGCGGGGGGGACACGAGGAGCCCCCCAAGGGGGGACGGCTCCACAGCTGGGCCCGACACAGCTGATGGGAGCTGGGGCATGGGACTGGGGGGGACACCACGAACCCACCTGAGCTGCCATATCCACGAGCTGCGGCAGCCGCAGGTACTTGCCCATCTCGCCCTTGAGGAAGTCCAGGAGGCTCCCTGCGAGGAAGACAGCGCTCAGCATCCTTCGGCAGAGCGGAGCCACCCGGCTGGGCCAGCCGGCGTCCCTCCCGTGCTCACCTTTGCTCATGTACTCGGTGACGATGTAAATGGGCTCCTCCGAAACCACGGCGTAGAGCTGGACCAGCTTCTCGTGCCGCAGCTTCTTCATCACCTGGGCTTCCTGCAGGAAGGCCTCCGGGGACATGGTGCCGGGTTTCAGCGTCTTTATTGCCACTCTGGTGGTGCCGTTCCAGGTCCCTGGAGGACGGGACACGTTTATGGGGCCGTGTCCCCTGCCTGCTCCCCCCAGCTGGGAGATGTGGCGGGGACGCTGCGCTGGGGACACGGGGCCGGAGCGGTCCTTACCCATCCAGACCTCTCCGAAGCAGCCCTGCCCCAGCTTCACCTCGAGCCGCAGCGACTCCCGGGGGATTTCCCAGGCGTCCTTGGCGAGCCCCTGGGTCTGGGGCTTGGAGGTGGGGCAGACGGTGGTCAGACGGTGGCACAGGCCGTCGGCGTGTTCTAGCGGGGGACAACGTGCGGGTGATGCTCTGGCATTCAGGCACGCGATGGCTTCCTTGCAAAACACCTCGGGGACCCGCACCCAGACCCCTTCCCCTTTCTGAAACCCAAGCTGTGTTTTTCACCAGGTGCCCCCAGCCTGGTTTGGGGACCCCCATGCCAGTGCTGGCTTCCAGCAGCCCCTCCCTGCCCCAGGGGCACATCCATGTTGGAAAAAACACCCAGGGCCACCAAGTCCGAGCGTCCCATCACTAAACCACGTCCCTCAGAGCCACATCCACGCATCCCTTAAACACCTCCGGGGATGGGGACGCCACCACCTCCCTGGGCAGCCCGTTCCAGAGCCCAACCACCCCCTACACGACAAGATTCCTCCCGACACCCAACCCAAACCTCCCCTGGTGCAGGCGCGGCGCCCTGGGCATCACCCAGACCCCTGGGATGTGGGGCGGGGGGGTCTGGCCACGGCCCCGGGTACGCACTGGAGTAGTAGGCCACCAGCTGCTGCAGGCTGCCGAACTGTGTGCGAGAGGTGATGTAGAAGCCGCCGCTGTCCAGCTTGCGGATCTTGTAGTGCTTTACGTTGAGCCCCTTGGCGTTGTCGAAGTCGGAGACTGAGAGGCAGTAGGCGCCTGCGGGCAAAACCCAGCGGCTCAGGGGCTGCGTGGGCACCGGACCCCCGCGGGGGGAGCAGGATGGTGCACGCAGGCTGCCGGTTTTACCCCAAAAAGCCCTTTTATCTGTCATTCACAACTGGTGCAACAGCCGAGAGGCACCACGAGGAGCAGGGATGAATGCAGCAATAAAGGGGCAGGGGCATGGGGGAAGGATGGGGCCGCAAGGAGCAAAAGGGAAGGTTCACGCTGCTGCCTGCATGAGCTGTTTCCACTGGAATAAGGCAAATGGCACCACGTTCAAAGCACCAAAGCAGAAAAAAAAAACACATCAAGGAGCTTTTCCCAACGGTGCATTTGGAGCCAGACTAAAGCACGTTTCCAGGTAAGAAACGGCATCCTCGGCCAGCCAAACCCCGGAGATCAAACTCACACAATCAGGAAGCACAAAACAAGGATCAAGAATTCGTTAGACCTGAAAGGAGGGCCTAAAAATTAATCATTGCCTTTGTCTGGTTGCTCACAAGCAAGAATTTGACATTACATGGGTGGCAGGAAAAAAAAAAAAAGTATTTGTGAGACAAAAAAAAAAAGAACAAAACCAGAAAAAAGCCAGGGAGAGGACGTGCTGCTGGTTCCATTCCAGTGTTTTGGAAGCCCGTGGGTACAGGGGTGAGCAAACCATTAGGGCTGGGGTGGGTAAAAACAGGGCATCTCTGCCTCCAGCTTGGATGCCGGGAGGAGAGTGTGGCAGAAAGGGGACAAAAAAGGAAAAAAGGAAAAAAAAGCAAAGCAAAGCAGCAGCTGGGTGCTGCACAGGGAGCAAACCCCGGAGGCACAAATCCTGGTGGCAGACGCTGAGCACAGAGGGGCCAGCACCAGGCTGGGGCCGGCACGCAGCGCAGAGGGGCGGGCACCCCGTGTCCCTGCAGCCGGGGCTCACCTTTCGTGGTCTCACTCTCCCGCACCAGGAAGGTCCCCCGGGGGTTTTCGGGGTTGAGCAGCAGCCGCTCGGACTCCCGGCGAGTGATCTTGCCGAAATACCACCTGCGGGAGGGAAGGCACAGGCTCAGCGCGGGGCCCCCGTGCGCCCCTTGGATTGGCGAGCAGCCATCCTGCGCCGCCGACCGCGGGCACCGCTCAGCGCCTGGGCTCCAAAAGCCTCCCCAAAAGGAGGGGCAGCCCCTGGGGCACCCCAGGCAGGAGCTGGGGGTGGAATTCCCCCACCATGGGCTCTGCCACCGGGTGGGGACAGTCTGCGGAGACGCACGTGGATTGGAAACCAAACCAAACCAAACCAAACCAAACCAAACCCAAAAAAAAGCCCCAAGAAATACAACAGAGCCCCTGCAGGTTTTGCCCAGGAGGAGAGGGATAGGAGAGAGGGAAAAGCGCTCGGTGGGTGGTGGTTTTTCTTTTTCTTATTGCTTTTTTTTTTTTTTTTTTTTTATAAAAAGAACTGTCTAAAAGATGGCAATTACTCTTCAGCCTGGATGGAGTCTGAGGGCGCGACATAGTTACTGGGGATGTAGCCCGTCTGTCCTGTAGTGAGGGAATGAGCCAGCCACCAGTCACCTTCCCTGCAAGAGAACCAAAACACACTCAGTGTGAAGCCAAAAAGCCCCCAAGCCCCCTCGGGCCGTGCCCTCTCCCACCTCCGGGCAGCGTCCCCATGTCCCTAGAGGCACGGGACGAGCAAGCAGAGCCCAGCCCAGGGGGGGGACAGCAGCGAGCAGCACCTGCACCCAGCCCCGCAGCAGGACCCTGGCACGCAGAAAGACCCCATGGAGACCCCAGGGCACGGGGCAGGAGGGTGGCAGCAGAGCCCAACCTGCCCCAAATCAGCCCTGGGAGCCTGTTGGCACCGGGCAGGGCCCCGCTGCCACCCCCAGGACAAGCAGCATCACCACGGTGCCGGGGTCACCCATGTTCCCAGCATGCTGTGAAATGAGGGGGTCTCCTGCCTGGAAAAAAGGCCGGAGAGCCAAAAAATCCCTTTGGAGCCCTCTGAATTTGAGCTGGGTCTGGCTGGAGATGAGACGCGACGGAAACCCCAGCGAGCAGGTAAGCGGGGAGCAACAGGCAAAGGGGGAGGGAGGGGAAATGGGGGAAAAAAGCGACAGAATGGCAGCGATTAAATAAAGCACCAGAAAAAAAAGAAAAAAAAACAACAACAACAAAAGAAGGCAGAATTTGTTAAACACAGGCTACTCAAAGCAACAAAAGGGATCAAATAAATAAGGACTGGAGCAGGCTGGAACTGAGTGAGGTGCTCTTTAGGTGCCCTTGGGACGGATCCAGCAGGCACAGGGCAGCCGGGCTCGGCGCTGGGCACAGGGGTCCCCCTGCAGCCTCTGCCGAGGGCTGGTGGTGCTGGGGCTCAGCCGTGGTCCACAGCTCACCGAGCATCTCCAAATCAGGCACCCCAGGCCGGGATGTGGCTGGAATTTGGGCGATGGGGGGAAACCTGCCCTGAGGTGCTTCAGGGTGCGCTCTGCCCGGCTCATCCCCGAGTGTCCCAGTGCTGGCCCCAAGCAGCCAGGGCTGAGAGGAGGTGGCCCCAGGAAGGTCTCGAGGTGCTGGACCTCAACTGGTGCAGGCACAGACCCCATGAGCCTGACCCTGGGGAGTTCAGCCCCCCCACCCCGATCCCTGCACAGCTCCACCTCGCCCCAGCCTGCGTGCCCACGGCACGGGGCGTGCTGTCCCCTCGGTGCTGTCCCCTCGGTGCTGTCCCCTCGCTCCTCGTGGCAGGGGGCACGGAGCTGCTGCCCCCACCTTCCCCGGGCCGGGGTCAGGGGCTGCTTCGGCTCCTTTCCCACGGGGCCGGAGCAAACATCTGCCTGAGAAGCGCCCGGATTTTGGCTCGGGGCTTTATTCCAGCTCGGGCTGGAAGGCTGCAATCTGGGAATTCGGCAAAAGCAAACTATTCCAAAAATGTCTCAGCGGAAGGGGAAAAAAAAAAATAATCACCATCATCAAAACAAAGCATTTCAACAATTCCCTGCTTGGTTTTACCCAAAATACCCCGCTACACCCCCGCTGTCTGCCAGCGGGCTGGGAGGGGGCCTTCTTTCGGTGATGGGGTGAGCGGATTTGGCCCCTGGGGAGGCCGAGGGTCCCTGCTGGGGCTCTGCAGGACGCAGGAGCAGGGAGGGGGGCGATGGGCTGCAAACCCAGCCCCAGTACAGCAGCCACCAGGCAGCAAAACCACGGTCTCCCAGTCGTGCCGAGCAGCGTGGTGCTGCCCGGGGCCTGGCTCCCTTCCGAGGTCTCGGCCACAGCAGCACCACGAAGCGGAGCAGGAGCCTGGGGTAGCTCCCTGCTGGGGCTGGGAGGTGGAGGAGCACCAAACACCCCAAACTGGGGCTTTCTGTGCACCACTGAAGCCCTTCATGCAGCACAGCCCAGGCTGCACGGACTGAGCGAATCCCCATTAATAAACGATGAGCGTGGGAAGGAGGAGACCAAGGACCGAACTGAAAACCCATCTGTGTGGATCCCCACGGGGCAGGAGATCATCCTTCTGCCTTTGTGGGGCTGGTTTTGGCCCCCAGGTTTCAAGGTGGCAGCAGCGGGGACAGCGAGCTGAGTGCGCTGCGCATCGGGACCGAGCACGCAGCAACCTGAGGACTGTGCCAGCCCCCGGAGCGACTCACAAAAAATAAAGAAATAAATTAAAAATGCAAAAATAAAGGCAAAGAAAAAAAAAAAAAAAGAAAAGACCAGGAAGGAGCAGAAACCCAAACGAAACAGGACTGATGAGGGGTGCCAGACACAGACAAGGGGTTCAGGGCCAGCTCAGACCTCCCCGGTGCAGAGCTGCCAGCACGGAGGGGGCTCTGCGTGCTGCCCCGCTCGCCCAGGGAGGTCAAACGTGGCCAGGCACGGCCCCTCCAGGCAGCCCCTGCTCCCTCCTGCTCCCACCCACGGGCAGCCCTTCACCAGGCAGGTCGGCAGCAGCAGCAGCAGCACCAACCCGTCGGTACACACCTGACGTCCACTTTCCTCCTAACGAAAGCGTGGCGGGCAGGAGAGAAGAAAAACAGTCAAGAGGGAAGCTGAGGCCACAGGCACCGCGGAAGCACGAGGAAAGCATCTGGGGAGTGGAGGGGGGGAGTCCAGGCAGACGAGAGGCAGCTGAGCGCTGACGGGGACGGGGGGCAGGCGGGGACGTGGCCCCGAGCTGGGGACCGGCTCTGGGACGCGGAGGTGGCTTGGTGGCAGGGCTGCGAGGCAGCGGTGCCCGGCAGCAGGGGGCAGGAGGATGGGGGAGCATCGAGCATCCCCCCAAGGCATGGCCTCTGATGCCAGTGGCCTCGGACACGTCACTGCTTCCACACATGGCTCCGAAATGCCCCTTGGAGTGTCCCCGGGGACAGCCAGCCTGCCCGAGGCTGGGCTCGGTGACCCCTCTGGAGCCCTCTCGAGGGGGTGAAGCTTGGCCACAGGGGCACAGGGACACTCACGTGTTGTTGACGATTTGGAGGCGTTCTCCTTTCTTGAAGGACAGGTCCGTTTCGGTCCGGGACTCGTAGTCGTAGAGGGCCACGAAGGTGGTGACTCCGCCTGCGACAGGGAACCGCTCGGGGTGAGCGTCCGCCACCCCGCAGCACGGCACCGGGGGACCCTCCCTGTCCCACCACCCTCCCACCACCAGACAAAACACCTCTGCCAACCCTAGCCCAAAACAAAAAAAACCTCCTTCCAGAGGAGAGGACCCCGCCACCACCAGGAGGAGCTGGAACCAAACCCAGCCAGACCCAACCGCCAGCACCCGAGGGTGCCGGGGCCGCACTGACCGGCCAGCGCCCCAGAGCGCTGCGGCGACGTGACGGTGTCGGAGGTGTTGAAGCCTCCGAAGAGCTTGGACTCGGCTGCCATGGTCCCGAAGGAGCGGCTGGGGGTGCGATGGGCATCGGGGGCAGCCGCTTTGCTGGGTGTCTGCGAGGCTGGGTACCCCCCGTGGTGGGTGCTGTCGGCCGGCTCCAGGCTGCGCCGGCGCTGGCTGGGGTCTTTGGGTTTGCTCTTGCTGCTCCCCATGGTCCCGGGCTGGAGGAGGCAAAACAAGGCAGAGGGCTTTTATTTATTATCATCGTCATCATTAAGCTGCTTCCCAGGGGTTTTGCAAGCTGCCTGCCCTCTAGGAAAAGAAACAAAACCCCCCGAGGGTTTCCAAGCACCAGCTGCCGCGAAGCCGGGTCCTCCTGCCCCTGCCCCGGGGCGGCATCGCTGCCCCCCCAACACCCCCGCTGCCCCCAGATGAGGCGGGTGGGGAGAAGTCACACAGTGTGAGCTGGGGAGATGGAATAACAGCACAGCCACCGAGGAACGCCAGGGCCAGCCCTGCTCGAAGGAAAAGGCTCCTGGACACTGGGGCGAGCAGCAGCCCCAGGGCCACCCGCACGGGGATGCTGCGGGGCCATGGCTCTGCTCAGCACTCGTCAAAAGCTCATCAAAAAAACAAAAAAAAAGAAATCTTGCCAAATCTCCTGGTGCCCCAGCGCCCCTCCTGCACAGCGGGGCAGTCTGTAGGGCCGTGCTCCCTCACGCACAAGGGATCTCTGCTTTATATATAGCCCTGCCTTCCCTGCCACTTCGGATCCGGCTCTATAAATACCTCCAAGGTAATGATAGAAATGAAGGAAGGGAATTATTCGCAGCCTCCCAAGATGGCAGGATGCACAGCAGTGTCCTGCAGCTATGGAAGGAAAGATTTAGGCTAGGGCACGCAGGCAGGATGGAAAAGGGAGGCGGAGAAACCTCTCGACAGGGAAAAACCGAGCAGGTGAGGAGCAGAGGAGGCACCGGCGCCCGTGGGGCACGGAGCAGAGGGCGAGCGGCTGCAGCTCCCTGCCAGGCTGTGCCCCACGGAGGACTTTCCAAGCCAGAGCTGGGGCTGCTCCCTCCTCCAGCTCCCTCCCCATGCTCAGGGCTTGGTTTGACCGTCAGGGCTCGTTTTCCAAGAGAGCCGGCTCCTAGCAGGGCCTCAGCCCACGCTTTGGGGAGTTTGGAGCAGAGCGGGACGGGAAGGTCGGATACAAACCCTGCACTGGCAAATTGTCACCGCTGGCACGCTGGTGGTGGAGACAAGGGGAGAGGCTGCCCCATAAATAAATATGCTTATAATAAATCAGAAATGCTTGAGCAGAGGTGCAGGAGAAAGTGGGTCTGGAGAAAAAAAGCAGCAAAGCCCCCTCCCGTACCAAGAGCCACCCCCCGGTGCTCTCCTCCCTCCGCTCACCTCCGTGCGGGGCTCGGGCACCCGCTGGCACTCCCGGGGCCCTGTGGGCTGCCCGGGGCCGGCAGGGCTGTGACCACGGGGCTCGTGACAGCCCACGCGCCTCTGAGCAAGGCGTGCTCACAGCTTCCCCTGGCCGCGGCACTTCCCCCAGCAGGGACACGGCGGGGACACAACCGGGACACGGCCGGGATGGGCAGCGGACGGAGCGCGGCCCCCATGGGGGTGGCTGTGGGGACAAGGGGGGGGCTCCTGGCCCCCAGCAGCACTGCCGGGCAGCGGGGTTAAAGCAATCGGGTTGCAAGAAGCTGCCCACCACCCGCAGCAATTCCCCTGGAGCTCAGCACCGCTCCTGTCCTCAGCCGGGCAGGATTTGGGGCAGGGCTTCCCCCCGAGGTGCAGGCGGCGGGCTGGAGAGCTGCCAGCATTCCTCGCGCTCGCCTCCGACGGATCACAGATCGGAGGCGGCAGCTCTCCTGCGGGCAGGATTAGCACCCCAGGCACGTCGCAGCCTGCAGGGACTCCTCTCCTTTCCTCTCCAGGGGCTCGGCACCGCTGACAAATTGCGAACCACCGCGGTGCTGAGCTGCGAGGTTTCAGCTCCGGTCCCCGCGGGACCAGCTCCTGGGGGCACCCGGAGATGGGGAGACCCCCCCCGGGGTGATTCCTTACCTGTGTTTTCCAGCTACAGCCTGGCCGTGGGGTTGTGGGGGGCTGCCAGCGGCCTCAGCTCAGCTCCTGCTGCAGACAGAGGGACGTTAGTGGCCCTGTCCCCGCCGCGTGGGCTGCTGCACCCACCCTCCTCCTCCTCCTCCTCCTCCTCGCCACCCGCCCACCTCGGCGGGTGCCCCCAGCGCGGGGCAGCCAGCTCACCCCCGCCCGCTCTGCTCTCTCATGTGTGAAGAGGGGACGATTCTCTGCTCCACTTCATCGCACCCACCCAGAGAAGGGCGAGGAGGCGGCGGGGGCAGCCCCGGGCCATGCACGGCGGCGAGAGGGCAGCAGGGACGCGCGGCTCCCAGGGCGCCCCAACCCGCTGGGGGTTTTTTTTTTTGGTCGTTCCCCAAAGGAGGAGAAGCAAAGTCGGCACCACGGGGCGCTTCCAGACCCATTGCTCCGTCTAGGACCGGCCACAGGGACTCTGGGCCACCAAACGGGGACCTTGTCCCCGGGGACATGGGTGGCCCTCCCCGCCCCCAGCAGCACAGCCAAACCGCGGCGTGAAGCCCGCACACACAGTCCTGGAGCACCTCACGCTGCTCAGGCCCTGACTCAGCAAGAAAAGCGTGTTTTCACCCAAATTCTCAAAAGGCACAGATTCGTATTGCAAGTGTGGGTGCTGAGGGGACGTGCAAAACACGCTGCTGTCTGGCAGCAGCAGCCCAGGGCAGAGCTTTGGGTCCGAGCAAGGAAAGGCTCCCCGCAGCCGGGGGCTCCCCACGTGCCAAACACGCAGGGCTCAGCTGCAAGGCAGCCCCTGCGGCACCCCCAGATGGGCCACGGCCCCCACCAGAGGGACGCTGCCGTGCCAAAAAGCCAGACCCCAAGCTTCCCTTCGCCTCCAGGGACACCGCACACCGCAGACGGGTGCAGACGGAGCAGGCACCGAGCTTTTCCCCACGCCACCCTGCCCAGCCACGGCCTCCTGCCTTCACGCAGGATCCCTGGGTGTTGGCAGCATCACACCACGCAGCTCCACGGCAGCTGCTCCGGGCTCCTTATGCTCCAAATTTGCAGCACGAGGCACAAACCCGCACAGGAGCCGCAGCCCGCCGTGTCCCCCCCAGCGGCCGGGCGCCGTGCCGAGGATGTGCCACGCTCTGGGTTTATTTTGCGCCCCTTCCCCCCGTGGCAGTAAGTTTTGTGGCTATTTTTAGTGCATCTGATGAGGGTAACGAGCAGCGGCTGATTGACAGCCCTTTTACGACTTGAATGGTTTGTAATTTGTGCTTGACTAATATTCGCCGCCAATAATTGCACAGCGGGATGGGAGCTGGGGGAAGCTGCAGTCTCAACTCCAGGCTGCAGCACATACAAATAAGGCTGCGACGCGCACGCACGTGGCGTCCCCACCGCCCCGCGCCGTGTCCCCACCGCCCCGCGCCGTGTCCCCAAGCACTGCCACGTTCCCACGGTGGCCCCGTGGGAGCATCCCTCGGGTGGCGAGGCGCTCTGCCCCGCAGCCCTCCCGGATCCCCAAATGCTCAGCACCGAGTTCCCCAGTTGAAGGAAGCGCCCTGAGCTGCCCCGCTCAGCTCGGGCCCCATTGCGGCCGTGGCTTCCCCCTCCCCTCGTGCCGGGGGCAGCAGAGCCCCCACACAGCACAGCCGGGGCTGGGAACACCGCCTGACCCGCCCGACACCCCCAGCCCTCCCATACCCACATCCCCAGGGTTTTACTCCCCCCCCAAAAAAAAATTAAACGGCGAGGTGGGACGCACGGAAAGGCTGCCTCCTCCGCCCTACCTCGCAGGGGTGCTCTCGGAGAAGCAGCAGGGGGGAAGCTCGGGGGCCAAGGCGTCTCCTGCAGCCAGGGGGCTGCACCCGAATGGCTGCAGGATACAGCGCAAGTTGTAAAAGCCACGCCGAGAGCAGGCTTGGCGACTGCAGGGCGAAGCGATCTTTCTTTTTTTTTTTTTTTTTTTTTTCCCAAAGACACTAACAAAAGGCACTGATTGGGAGCAGACAAAACACAGAAATACCAACGTTTGCCGGCTTCTGTGTAGCAGGAGCAGAAACCTTGGGAAATTCTGCGACACGCTGGGGGCTGGGGCCAGACAGGGAGCCTTGGGGAGGGAGAAATCGCCGGCAAAACAGGCTCTGGCCTTGGGGCTGCTGGAGGGCCGGGTGGGTGCCCAGCAGGACACGGTGCTCCAGGCATGGGGACACCACGCCGGGCAGGGACATCTGCGCAGTGACCCCCCCCAAGGCTTTAACACCCCCCCTAAAGAGGTGATGCTTCCCTTCCCTGCAGCACGGTTGCAGGGAGGCTTCTGCCAGCCCTGCCTGGGAGAGCTTTGCATGAAGCACGGCCTCAAACCCAGCTCAAACAAACCGAAATCGGAGCAATCACCGCAGGTACAGCCGGGGGGCGGCGGGCAGGGGGCCGCCAGCAGCCCCAGGCAGGTTCCCCCCTCACACCCGCCCGCTTCAGCGCCCTGCAGAGCCCCCGCGGGATGAGTAACGGCACCTGTCTGCTGCCAGACTGAAAAATGAAGCGCGCAGGGCGGCGGGGACACAGCGCGAGACAAAGCCGCCTCGTGGTGCAGCGCCGAGCCCACCGGGGGCGAGCAGAACCTGAGGGAAGGAGCCAAAAGCCCAGGACACGGCCCCGAGCCCACCCCACGCCCCTTGCCCACGCCGGGAGCAGGGACGGGCTCATGCACGGCACAGAAAAATCGCCTGCTGGGTGTGCCACCAGGCAGGGAGCGCCGCAGCTGGAGGCGGCCGATGAGTTGCTGTGAGCCCCCCGTGCCCGTCCTCCAGCAGCCCCCTCCCTGATTTTGGCAGGAGACGCAGCCCCAGACGCGCACATGCAGCTGCTGCCCCCAAATGGGGGGCTCGGTGCCAGGGATGCCCCCGAAATTTTGCTTCCTCCCGCTGCAGAGGCGGCACCAGAGCCTCGCCAGCCCGGCTGTGAGTGGTGGCACCGGGATGGAGAGGCTGGGGGCAAATCCCAGGACACGGACACCTTGTAGGGCATCCCAGTGCTGGGGACGAATCCCAGGACACGGACACCTTGTAGGGCACCAGGACGGCAGCAGGGCACGCAGCTGGGGGCCAGCAAACGGCAGCGCAGCCCCTGGTGCACTCGGGAGCACCTCGCTGCCCTGCCCGGAGCTCGAGGCCCCGGCACAGCAGCACATCTCCGAGTCCCACGCGCTGGTGAAAAAAGGGGGGGCTGCTCCCCCAGCTCATCCCAGCTCATCCCTCCCCGCCACAGCACCCCGGCCACCCTTCCCTGCCTCCCCCAGGAGGAATCCTCCAGGACAGAGCAGGTCGGGGCCGTGGCACAGCAGGGAGGGATGCACGCAGGGGGGTCACAGCGCCCGGCCCCGCGCTGCCGCCCGATGCGAGGAGCGGCCCCTCCCTTAGCACCCTGTCAGCTCCCGTTAAATTTAGAGCTATCTTAATTAAAGCTGCACAGCCCAACCTAGCAGGGGCCAGCAGGTCGTGACAGGGCGAAGGATAATTAAATCAGCCATACAAATTCACCCCCCCTCCCCTCCACGCACGGGGGAGAGTCACGTTCGGGAGCAATTTGGGAATGTGTCAAAACACGAGTTAGGGACCAGACCAAAGCCCTGAGAGGCACAAAGCAGGTGCTGGATGTTTATCTGGCCAAGAAACTCAGAAACATAAAAAAAACAACACAGAGAGGTGTGCAGGGAGGCAGGGACACACTGTGCCACCCCCACCACAGCGGCGGGGCCAGCCCTCGACAGTCAGATTTGGGTTTTGTTTCTTCGAGGCGATGGGAAGCAAGTTGCCCAGGCAGGCAGGGTTTCAGGGGATGGCTCCGCACACAGCCCGGTGCCCCCCGGTGTCCCCCAGAGCACCCCAAAGCCAGGCGAGGGCAGGGAAACCCTGACGGCAGGCGCCCTGCAAGCTCCATCTTGCTTAAGGCTGGCAAGAAAAAAAATCACACGGCTGACCTCCCAAACTCCCTGCCAGCTCCCCGGGGCGAGCAGGGTGCCAGCACCTCGTGTTTTCTGGTGTTTTAAGCCTTTTGCTGCCCCAAGGGCTCCTCCCCAGCAAGGGCAGAGCAGCGGCTTTCCTTAAAGAGAAGCGGGATCTGGGCGTAATCCCAGCGCCGCAGCACCTCGGGCGCGGTTACGAGGCGCTCGGGGGATTTCTGTGCTGGGAGAGGTTCGGACACCACCTGCAGCAGACCCGGGCACGACAGAGCCACGTCTCCAAAGCTTCAAACCGGGCAACAAGTCCAGCCCCGGGGCTAAGAGCTGAGGCCACCACTGACCTGGAGCCAGGAAGGTGCCAGCCCAGGTTCCAGGGCTCCACCAGCCCCGTGCCCGTGTCCCAGAGGAGGTCCCTGGGTTCAGGGCGCTGTTAGGAAGTGTTTGGGGCAGGGCATGGCCCCGCATCGCCTCCCGGTGCCTCCCAGCCCAGCTCACCCCGTGCTTCCAGGATCCCTGTCGGGGCACGAGCCAGAAGCAGCGATTGCCAAACCAGCTCCAAGAAATTCATTCCAAAGCCCTTGGCGTGCGTTCACCTGAAGCGTGCTTCTCCCAGACAGGTGATGAGGGCACCCTTCTCCTCCTGCCAAGGCCGGGAGAAGCAGAGGGAATGCTCCCAAGTGCACTGAACGCCTGCGGGGCTGGGCAGCACTGATGGGGAGCCGGGACCAGCACCAGAACTGACGGAGCCATGGGGCAAATCTTCCCAAAACCGCCCTCCAAAGAGACCCCCAGAACGCTCCTTGTCAGTACCAGCCCCAGGGGCTCCCCCCCAGCTCCCGTTTCCCGCAGTCCCCCTAAATGCACGTTGTTCCCATCCTCCCCCCGAGCCTCCCTGGGGGAAAAGAGGCCGGGTGGCAGCGGGGTGACCCGGGCTGGCCTCTGGAGGAGGAGCACGAGGCCGGGGAGCTCAGTTCCCCATTGCTGCCTCCCAGCTGCCGGCTCCAGGATGGCTGCAGAGAACGGAGCTCGCTTCTGCTTTCTGCGAGGAGAGAGCCCAGGGCTCCCTGTGGGACACCCAGCGCCCAGCCCGGCTGCTGGGGAAGGG